GAGGAAGGAGAGCTCTGGCCTCTGCCCCCCCCCCCCCCCCCCGCCCCGGGACCCCCCCCAACCAAAAAAAAAAAAAAAAAAAAGCTGTATTTAATTTGAACCCTTTGATTAACATAAGTAATCACACAAGCCCTTCAACTGGAGGGGAGGAAGAGAAACACACCTCTAGTGTTCACTTACTCGTCTCTGGAAAGAACCAGCGTGTGAAAAGAAACGGGGAAACAGAGGGAAGAGTTTTAAAGAAGTTAGATTATGTTTATTTTACTTTGGAGGGATCAACAAAGGCTACAGTCGAGTAATAGTGGAAAAGAAAAGCTGTGTTTGATAAAGTAATCAACAGCACTAGGATCTATGTATTGTTAGAAGAGTGCCTCTCTCTTTGAGTAAATATTAACAGAGTATAGAACTTTTCAGATCAAACTTTTCTCCTCAGACATACGACCGGCTTCCAACTTTTCTTTATATGAAAATAAGGGAAAAAATAATTCATGAAGCGGAAACTTGATGAAAAACCCAAAGATCAGAGCATCTAAGTGTAGAGCGGTCTAAATATGGAATAGAGACAGAGAGCCGGGTGAAATCATCCCGAAGGGAAAAGAGATGGACTGAATCAGACCAGACAGAGCTCGCAACCCGCCCAACGGGAACTCCCTCTGTTCATTTACATTAATCCCACAAGACGGTCCCATCCCTCAAGCTCCTTCACAGACGCTAGACTTAAAACTTGACGCCTTTTGAGGATCTATATCTCCCAGAGAGGACGGTGGACGGGCACACTGGTGAGAGAGAGACACGAAGAGTCTAATGAGATAACTTGAGATCGTAACAAAAACAAACATGTGACATGCTGTATTCAAAGATGAAAGGGATAATAGATGAGGAAAGCTGCTGGTGAGTCGAGGTGAAGACATGTATTGACTTCTCACCAGAGAGTGACCCAGAGGGAGACACTTAACCTCCATTTCCTTCTGGTCCAACTGCTGACCAGTCAACTGTGAGAAGCTGCAGTTGTTTGTCTGGTGTTTTAAATGATTGTTAGGTAGAAAGAGAGCCGACACTCATTCAAAGCCAGACAATAACTACGTTTACATCTCTTTTAGGTGGATACTTAAAATGAATATTACAGTAATATTCCTGTTTACATGCACACAGCCTCCTTCTTTCATTCTTTAAATGACCTTCTCGAAAAGAAAAATGGTGTAGTGATATTTGCGCAGATCCCAAAAACCTTTCATATGTCAAAGTCTTTCATAAAGTTTAAAAGCAGGTTTGTTTCTCCCTCCAAACAGAACTGTGGCCCTTATATTTAGGACACACATGACTGCAAACTGTCGGCTTGTTGGTTCATTGCAACAAACAGAGCTGAGTCTAAACAGGTGAGAGGCCGCGCGTGTTAACTGGCCTAAAAAGGTCCAGATTGAGACGCATATTTCAGAATACATGTCGAAAGAATGCTCCTAAAACCCGATTAATAAATGGCATATGACCCATAGTCATCGACTATGTCTACATGCACAACATTTTCAGTTTTTGACCTTTTTCAAATATATATATTGAAAATTACTATTACTAATATTCCTGTTTATATGCAGCCGTGCATACTCCAATACTCTGATAAATGTAAAACGTCCCCATGACATACGTCCTACAGCTACATCATTTAAATAAAGTAACTTTCCCTCCTTCTCCAGCTGAAGTCATGTTGCTTCTGTGGTGGACCATCGTTTCTTCAAGCTTTTCTTTTTTACATTAATGCACGAAAAACTCCGACGCCATAAACATGCATGAGGCCGTGTGTTAATTGTAACAAACTGATGTTAAAAACCACAAAATGATCTCACGCTGAGAGACTAACTGATACTTGTTATTGTCAGAAGTAAAGCAAACAAGAGGAGAACCAAACAGAAGAGACAGGTACACAAGATTGCATTAATTGTAAGTGACGAAAACAAAATGCTTTTGAAGCCTCCATAGATTTACATCCGTAGCCCCTGCATGCTAAATGTAAATTAGCTAAGCATTGGTCCCAGTGGACCATCTGGAGATGAAACGCCCAACAACTGGGAACCCACATGTCTCAATAAACGCGTTCGAGCTGCTGCCGTCGTATCCCGTCCACAAATCTGCTGAACGTGTGTTCCGCTGAGCTTTGAGCTCTTGTCAGAGCTTAATGTAAATCCAATCCATACGTGTAATACCTGTGTACAGAGCGAGCGGGTGCACGCCATATGTCCTGTACATGTGCCGATTCTTCACAGGCTGGCACAGAAGTGGGTGGTTTTAATGCAATGACGAGGAGGATAAAAGTACACCCGAGACAAAGTTTAATTCCCACGTGAATTCGTACAAGACAAGGACAAGAGAGTTTAGTTTTACTGACACTATATAGTATAATACATAGGTATTATAGTGGCTCACATCATAATTCCTCCATGATCCACAGTCACTCCTCCTCTGAACCTCGCCTCTTATCTTGAGAGAAAACGATGCAGCCTTCAAGCTGCAGCTATTTTTCCTTCTATTCCCATCAGTCCACGATCACACGAACATTATTCCAGCACTTACACTCTTTAACTATTTGTTTTTGTGTAACTCCGGCGATCACGCAGTCAAAGCTCATGTTAGCATTTGCTCTGAATGAATGTAAATGGGATTCAAGAAATGCTAATCTGTTCTTGGTTTAGCAGAGACTTCTCAGATTCAACAGAACACATACGAGACGTTTCAAACCCTTCAGGGCAGGTTGTAAATGTATAACGGCTTTCAATATATCAATTCATATTTTCACATTCAGAGATTACACATAGTTGTCTGCACGTGTGTGTGTTTTTATCTCGGCCCTACATTGCAATTGGCCACATGAATAGTCGGGTCGAAATAAATATAAATGTAGAATATATAAACACCTTGAAACCTCTAATAAGAGAGAGGTGAGCTGTGTTTTGGGGGAAGGTTATAACACACTGAACTGAGCCTTAGGCACGCTAGAAAAACTATAAGAACAGATACAAACATGCATGCGAGCACAAGCTCACACACACATCTACACGCTGCACACGTTCGTAGTGCGGTGATGTGTTGGTTTCGTCTTGGCCTCTCATAGTGGGAATGTCTCCACTTAATCCTCTCTGACTTCATACATTCAAAGGTCATCTCTCAGCCTACACATGGCTGAGGCGTGTGCGTGTGTGTGTGTGTCATAGTGCGAATAAGAAAGAAAAACCTATTCACATTCGCTGTATATGTCAACAAACCCTGTAGGCCTCTCCTTGTTTACTGTGAACATCCTCTCTTCTTCTTCTACTATTCCCTGGCTCCCCCCCCACCCACTGTTCTCCTTTCCCCCCACCCTTCACTATCTCTCACCTATTCTCCTTCACTACACCCCCCCCTCCTCTTCAACCCTCACCCACAATTCATTCTTTGCATCCCTCCCTCCCTCCCTCCCTCCCTCCACCTCCGAGCTCCAGAGGCAGGGGCATCTCTTGGCGAAGTGTGGCCCACCACAGGCCACTGGCTCTGGGTAATTAAAGTGGTTTAGGCCCCCTCACTCATGGTCACAGGCAACTGCAGCTGGGTGATAAAGGCACTGTGCCATAATTACATGGACGGCCAGCATCACCGCCCAGCTACACTAAAACAGTCAGCTAGCCAGATGCATGGGGAGGAAGAACCTGTGTGTGTGTGTGTGTGTGTATAAGTAACTGTATAGAGTGTGTGTGTGTATGTGCACAGGGGGTCAACACCCCCTTGTGATCGCTCTGCTGTAGTTAAGCCCCCTGTGTTTAAGCCCCACATAGGCTCATTGAGCCTCTCTCTACACACACACACACACACACACACACATTTTTAACCCCCCCCCCCAGGCAATCATTCCCCACCAGTGGTCTGACTCCTGCCGTGAGTGTGTGTGACCATCAGCCATTTAATTAGACCCAGCCATGATTTACCTAATTTAAATAAATAAATAAACATACGAAAACACCCCAATAAACAAATACCTATATGCAAATGAGGAGCTGTGGAGTTTCGTGAGCATAAAGAATGGGGCAGGAGATGGGATTGTGCAGGCGGAAAAAAAGCTAATGTAAGGGCCACTGGATGTGGACACACACACACACACACACACACACACACACACACACACACACACACCAGAATGAAACTGAAATTTCAGGATTGTGTTTGTGTTAAAATGTCGGTTCCCATCTAAATAATATTTTACATTTATTGTATTTGATGAACATTACTGAGGGGTCAATGGAATCAGATTTAAACATCCTAAATCTTTCTTTGGAGGACTATGCGACAGTGAATTCTCCAAGAAGCAGTGTTACACTGTGGATTTCTTTAAACCAATTTTCTGATCCACATTTCTGAATCATAATAAAGTTCATTAATAAGTTATTGTATGACTGATCGTGTTCATTTACCATTTGTTTTAATGGGAGGTTGTTTTCAATACTTGCTCAGGGAAAACAAGTTACATTCCTCCAACATCCCAACGCATCGAGACACAGACGTATCATTCATGATATTTCACAAAAAGTTAATCCTCGTTTTTGTCCAGCAACACTTGTCAATTAATGCTCGTTACATACATAAAGTCTTTTCAAAATAAACTTGACAGGAAACAACTTGGTTATGTTTAGGAGGAGATCGTGGTTTGGGTTGAAATATCTACAGAGGTGGCTTTAAGTCCGAAACTTACACAACGAATAAATTAACGCTGACTTCTGGTTTCACACGGGAGATAAACAGCTTCTGGGTAAACTACCGGTGTTTTCAGACCCATCAGTTTAGTTTTGTTTGTGGGTAATATAAGAACCATCGTGCACTACTTTTCATGGCTATAGCTACAAACAGTGTGTGAAAACACACTGCTGAAACTGCTAGCCTGTATTTTATTTAAACATTAATCACATTTGTTGTTTTGTTGCCTGTGTGCCTGTCGTTGGGATAAATTAAAGTTTAATTCGGTTCAAGTGAAGCCTGTTTACCTTCGGGGACGAGGAGGCCAGCTCTCTCCCCATCACCGCTGCGACCGGGCCAGGCCCGACTGGCTGAACTCTCTCCCTGTCTGGGCCAGAGCCGGGTTTGGGAGCAGGAGGACTGGGGCCGAGGCCGGGGCTGGAACTCGGGGGCGGGGGGGCCCTCCTCTTCTGGCCGCCGCCCAAATCCGGGGAGGGGCCGCCAGCAGGGCTCGATGTCCTTGGCTCGTAGAACGGGTTGGATCTGAGGAAGCAGGCGAAAAAAGCCGCCATGTTACTTTTCAATTGAAGTTCTAGTGATGTGCACAGATGGAGGAGTGTGAATTCATTAAGATTTATGTGACTTGTTGCCTCAAAGACCAACAGTGTTTGTAAACAAGTCACCAAAACTGTGTGCAAAAAATAAACACGGCTGATTCGTGCAAAACGAAACAGAACGTTTTTACATGAGCTATAGATATTATAGTAATGTGATGAAGGGACATTATATATAAGACGAGAGCACACCAGACACTTTAGAGATGAGCGAACTTAAAAACATGTAGCAGTAATTAGCGGCACCATTGGGACCCCATTGTTTGGTTAAACATGAGGAAATTGCAACATGGAAACGGGAGTTTGGCTCAATACAATGAAGAGCACACACGGAGTGGGAAGGTAATAGAAGATGCAGGTGCACCGAGGTCAGGTCTGCGTGACCTCATATCCTTACTGCCCAAGGTGGACCACTGACAGACAGACGGGCAGGAGCACGCACGCGCACACACACACACACACACACACACACACACACACACACACACACACATACCAGAGTGTTATCAATATACAGGCATGCTTGTGGCACTGAAAGCAGGGGCACGGCCTTGAGACATTCACTCAACATGCAACAAGCAATCCTCAACAAACAAGAGAATTGGATGGAGAGGGTGGGTGGGTGGGGGGAGGCTGATTGACTAGGTATCTGTCTGAAAGAGAAGGTTAGAGCCACTCAGTGTCTATCTAACCGCAGAGCGATACGGAGAGGGAAGAAAAGAAAAGCAGAGCAGGCCTTTAGAGCAGCTTTAACAGACCAGCACTGGCTAAAAGACATGTGAAAGGGCTCCAGTCAAAACAGCGCGCTGCCCTCTTGAACTCTCTATTCTGCGGAGGGACTGCTCCCGGTGTAAGAGATGGAGCAAAAGAAACATGCCAGTCAATAACCTGTCTCGTCTTTAGACTGAAGCGCTGTGGCCGTCCGCGTGACGGCTTCGCTCAACAGCCAAAAACCTACGAGTTCACATTTACAATGTAGGCCACTGGTCTGCAGGGAGATCCCCACAGATTAAGAATCCTGTTCCAGCTCTTAGGCTACATCCCATTAATCATTAGTTATTATAATCCAGGCGGTTCTTCAGAGTGAAGCCGATGGAGAAGTGTCTTAAAGCTGCATTCTCTCTAGTGTCCACCAGGGGGCGACTCCTCTGGTTGTATAGAAGTCTATGAGAAAATGACTCTACTTCTCTTTTGATTTATTACCTCAGTAAACATTGTAAACATGAGTTCATGGTCTCAATTTCTAGTTTCACTGTTAGTGTGAAACTAGACGCATTAGTGTGGACGTAGCGAGTTTTCATAATAACATTTAATGAGTGACTGAGGTAGCAAACGTCTGTTTTTTATTATTTCTCAAAGCTCAGTGTCACTGCCTGCTCTGCTATCACTGATCGATTGATTAATTGATTCTGGTTTACGGAGAGGAGATGCATATTGCAGATGTAAGAGGAGGGAGGTGAAATAAAAATGAGCAGAGTCTGGGGGAGGAAGTTAAGGAGGGAAAGTATGGGGGAGGGAGGGAAGGAGGGAGACAAGGTTAAAGAATGCAGAGAAACAACAGGGCCCTTGTTCCCGTTGAAAGAGCCGCTTCGTCACTCTGATTGGGGGGGGGGGGGGGGGGCTACAAGTACCCATTTATAAGGAGGGTTTCTTGCACGACTTGGCCTGCCAACAGTTACCAAGCTGGGAAGTCTGGATCCTTCCAGACGGCTTCTAGTATGGGAAACTCAACAGACAGAAGCTCTTTAAGCTCTCTACTCTGACACACACAAATGGTTAAATGTACTGTATACATAGAGAAAGAGGCTTCAGTGTGATTAATGCAAAAACGTGCACTGTGTACTCTCTCCTAAACGCACCATGTCCTGTGTCGGCTGATTAAATAGACTAGAATAAGGTGAAGAAATGGGACACAATGAAGACATAAGGTCTTACTCGTCAAGCTCCTCCTCCTCGTTGTGAGAGGTGTCGGCGTACAAGTACTTGCTCATGTCGACAGGCCGTACTCCTTTCCTCTGCCTGGGCTTGGGGGGTTCAGGGTCCGGCTGGAGGTCCGCGTCCCGGTCGGGCTCGTCGAAGGGGTTCCCCGGAGGGGGCGTCTCTGTCCCGGCTTCGTCCGGCTCATCGAACGGATTCGAGGTGTCGTGGTCGAAGAAGGAATCGTCGTCGACCTGATGCCTCGACACCGGCTGGGCGGGGGGCTCTGAAAACAACAACATGTCGTTTAAAAACAGTCAGAATGACTCAATATTACTTTCATTATTTAAGAGCTTTGGTAGTGAGTTGGGCAGCAGAGGTCCTGGTAACTAGCTAAGCTTTATGGACTTTCCTGCCTATTTGCCTTCTCACGACCATATAAAGAAATAGCTGAGCAACAAATCAACCGGTGGATTCCATCCGGATTGTTTTATTGTGCCAATTCAAGTATTTGCCTTCTATCAGATGTCTAACTCCATCTCTTTATTAATTCATGTTTGCAGTTTGTTTATCCATATGATGAGTTCACGAGGAAGACAATTAAGATACATCTATATGTTGGAGCTTGACTTTTAAAAATGATAGTTCCGTTAAGAGCCATCCACACCAGGAACGATAACTGTAATGATAACTAAAGATTAGAGTTTTAAGAATTGTTCTAACTGAAGTGGATGGCAGAGTCTGCACCCCAAATATAAAGACGATAGTGAAAGATAAAGTAATGATCACCTTCAGAGAACGATAGAAACACGTCCATCAGAATACAAAACTGTATTTGTTCCACACAGGAGGGTGGATAAGTATGGACGCTCACATCGTTATCGTTCTATTGTTCCATTGTTCTTGGTGTGGACGGCCCAGTACATTTGTCAGCTGGCCAAAAAGAACAACTTTGCTTAATTTAACAATTTTAAAAAAAAGTATTTTTTGAGAGCTCAGACCAACAGGAACCAACACACAGCTGCTACTGAATCAAAAAAGACCTAAAACAAAAGAAACCAGTTAATTTATGTTATGTTTCAATACTAATGTAATAAGATTTAGATGTCACACAAGAGATGTTATTAGAATATATATATATATATATATATATATATATATATATATATATATATTAAAAAATGATGCACGAGAAAGCAGAATCTTAGTCCCACAGACAATAAGGTTCAGATCAAAGCGAACAAACATCAAAGTGGGACCTGTGTGTGTGTGTGTGTGTGTGAGCATACCATTTAAAAAAACAAATAATCCGTAATACACCTGGCTACTCAGGTGGTCAGACATAAATATTGGTTTAGCTGTCTGACTGAAAGCATTGAGGCCTTCCTGCTATACATGACTACACACACACACACATTCAAGGTATGTGCACCTCCAAACCTACAGACACTGCCCAAAATAAACACGACTTCAGATCTAAACCCACCCAGCACAATGAAATCAGACTGGATCTCTTTTTGTTGAACGTACCGTCCTCGTCGGGATCACCAAACGGGTTGAGGTGGTCCGGATGGAGCTCGTCGTCGGGCTCGTCGAAGGGATTCGAGCACATGGCGGGAGGCGTTTCCTGATCCTCGTCTTCCAGGAAGTTCAGCTTGTTGATGAGCTCTGTTGCCACAAAGTCAAACAAAAAGTCAAACACACGAACCACAGAGTGACAAAAATAGCAGCTAGAGAAAATGAAATGAATACAAACATTCACAAACTCAAAGATAACAATATCTGCACTTTGGAGTGAACCATTCAGTCTTGTTAAAGAAATCCCTCTCGCTGGTGGAGCGCTGCCTAAACTTCTCTGTGCTCCTCAGCCCCCACTTCAATGCATGTACAGCAAGGGGCATTCTGGGAAAATCTGTGCGGTATGGAGGGTTACTGGGGGAGACGGTGGAGAGTTGCTATGGAGATCCCAGCTGGAGAAGGGCGGAGAAATGTCCAATTCATCTTCATCGCCCCTCGCATGGTGCCAGGGGGAGTGGGTCAAGTTTAAAAAAAGAGGGTAAATGTGTGTGAGGAGGCCAAGAAGAGCTGCTGAGCGCTACAGAATGTGAGGATCTGAGGAAGTGCTGCCTGTCTCTTGGTCTATATGCAGGGTGGTGAGCCGATAAGAGGTGCGGCACTTTCTCTCCGACAACATTCATGACCCATTTTAGGGGCCCCGTGGAAAGTGCACATCGGTGTGTATTTACATCTGAAGAAGTGGAGAAGAGTTAAGCTGAGAATCCAAGGACCCAGAGTGAGCTTTGTGTAAAGCTAGAGACGCACTGATCAATTAGACACCAATCAAAACCAGCCGGTTGTCCTCTGATCGGCCAATCCGTGTCATTTATCGGATTTGCCGGTCCGTGAAGGATAGAGGTGCAACGGATCCTAAAATGTTTTGGATCGTATAATGGGTTAGAGTCTTTCAAAACTAAAAAATGGAGCAGATATAACATTTAGAGACCCCCAATCACAATTTTTTTGCCGATACCAATTAATGATCATTGATGATCCATATTGGCCGATACAGATTCACGTTTGTTTTGTTTTGTTATAGCAGCTGGTCTACAAAGGCTCCAGAACATCTTTAGCAGTGCAGCCACTATTACTCTACTTGCTCTCCTTTGTTTGTTTTGAACTATCAGGGTTATGTCCTGATCGCATATTTTTACGAAATATCGTCCGGTAACGATCGCCAGTAAAACTTTATTTAACCCTATGATGATTAAACTGTGTAATTACTCTAAGGTTCACATGTGTGGCGTGAGGGGGATCCATACGGATCAACAACGGTCCGTTACACCTCCAGTGGAGGAACAACTTTAAAAAGATTTAGAACAACCAACTGTTTTATTACGAACATACAAATTAATTAAAATGTTCTATGTAAGACGGAAAGAATCGTCCATCCGTGCATCACAAGAAGTCGCTAAAGTAACTGGGTTTGTCCAAGTTTACAGATGTCATCGTCATTCCAGTGAATAGTGAACCCTGAACTCTGAATTTAGTGAGGAACTAGCCAGTGAAACCGTGTAGTAAGAAACTTATACTCTTGTCCTTTCACAGCACACAGTTTGAGATCCCTGATTCAACGTTTGTGCTCGACTAACCCGACCGACCCCATCTAACTTTAAAGCGTCTCACAAGCTCGAGGCCCAATGAAAATACCACAGATGCAATACACAGTTTAATTAAAAACAAAGGCACTTAATTCCAATTTGAAAACAATAACAAATATTTTTTGTCTTCCTGAAAAGATGTTTCTTTGGTGTAAGAATAGTTTTTGTTGGATACCATTTACCTCGACTGGTTCACTACCAATTGCAGTAAACAACACAGTAAAAAAAACAACAAAGAATAGGAACCAAACGACTGATGTGTTCACAACACCTTGTACAACACATCACCACATGAACCAATAAACCACAACACCAGCACAATACCAATGTCGAGGAGGATCGGGGGATGGGGCGTTTGAATAAAAGAGAGAGAGAGGGAGAGAAACAGAGAGAGAGAGGAGAGACGGAAAAGGAAGGATTAAGAATATATGGAAATATGTGGAGAGGAATGGAGGTAATGAATGGAAGTGTAGAGGAGACAACGATGAGAGATGAGTCGGGATCACAGGATGAGAGAAAGGTGAAAAAAGACCTTGGGAGGAAGCGGCAGGCTTAGTGGTTGCTTTGCGAGCTCGCTTTAGGAGACCATCATCATCATCATCATCATCATGTAAGCAGCTGAGGGCATTCAACTGGTTTACTATCTCTGTAAAGGACAGGGCCATACAGGAAGGGAGGAAGGAAGAATAGCAGTGAACAAGGCAAAAATAACACGTCCCATTGAGAAACATCCACTCAGTAAGCTACAGTGAGCGCATGTATTTCAGAGTGTGGTTCACGATAGCAGTGTTTTTGCTATTATCTATATCTCCAAATACATACAAAACGCTGATAAAATATGCAGTAAATGATGCACATCAAACTGCATGCTAGGCTTCTCCGCGGTAGTCTGTGTTACCGGTGTTAGAGCGTACACTGATTGCTGCTTTGCTTTTGTTTCTAGAAATACGATCCATTTCGTTCACCAAATACAAAAACTCTAATTTGGTAAGAATCAGTAGCCGGAGGTGTTGAAGTTCTTTGAGATACTCGGGTGCTCATGACTGGAATAAAGTTCCCAACAGCGTTAAACAGACCAGAAACCCAGACACGTTACAGGCAAAACTGAAACCCTTGTTTTTTAGAAAACAAACAAAAGACAGCTGTGTGGGCAGAGTTATTAATAGGAAGTGTGTACTTTTAACCAGCCAATGAGAAGCCGTCATTGGAAAGTCACCTTAAAAAGTAATGATTTTCTTGTACTTGATATGCTATACTCCTCTATGACATCTAACCACAACGAGAACCACGATGGAAATAAGCACTGTGACTTTTGTTCGCGTTATCCTTGATGTTCTGTTGATTGTGCATGGACAACTTTCATTTTATATTGCATGTTTTTAAATAAGCTTTTCTTACAGATGTTTCTAGCTGGTTATCTTGGAAGGTTTAACACATTTAACACCCACACACACACACACACACACACACACACACATATACATACAGAATCACAAACAACACACCAACAAAATATATATTCATGGAGATGTACAATACATCCTCTTTAGGTGTTTATATGTTCTCTTTTCCTCATACTGTAAGTAAAAGAGAACATGTGTTTTGCAGGGTTAGCCTAGCGTTAATGTGGCTGGCGTGGCTTGCTGGGTAGGTAGCATCCATGAGGGGAATGCGACAGGAGGGGGGGGTTTGGCAGCTTGGCCAGGCCTTTGATTCAGAGATGCACGCTAGTGAAGCATCGCTGTAGGCGCTCGATGCATATACATATAAATGAGACAAAGAGCAGGGAAGGGAGAAGAAAGCATGAAGCTTAACATGAAGAAAAGTTGGATTAAGCAAAGCAGGAAGCACCGAGTCCACAGAATGAATCCCCAACGTGTACGTATGGAAGTAAACCGCCAGTCGACTGGTCCACCAACAAGGGAAGGAAGCAAGGAGTAAAGGATGGGGGGCGGGGGGAATTAAAGCTTAAGCAAAAGAAGCAGACAAAACACTGTAAATGAAACTCATGAATTTATAATCTTATGTATGCAACCATGCACACGTACAGGAGCAGAAAAACAAAAGAAATCAAGAAAGAAGCAAAGTCCCTGGTTCAAATGGAGATTTTAAATCGGCCATGTTGCCAGTTTAGGAGGATGTCATTGACATTTTGAGCATTTTACGGCTCAAGCTGATTTGCTCGTATGAGAAGACTTACCGTTGACGGAGGTTTGACCGACAGCACAGGAAAAGCATGAATGCTGCCCATCACTGTAATTGGGGTGTCATTGATCTGGGGCTCATACGGAACCATGCAAAGGAATAATTGAGCCGGTCACCTGTGATCTTGGCGGCCTTCTCCTCCTGGTTGACCCGGTTCTCCTCGTCCTCCTCGTTCTCCTCCTCGAAGTCGTCCAGGTTGCCGATGTCGGCCTGTTTCATGCTCATCAGGCTGGCCAGGCTCTGCATGTCCTCATCACTGGACCATGAGAATAAAACACAGACAGAAACTCATGTTTATAAAGAGAAACCCCACCAAAACAGATACATAAGATACATAGTGGGTTTAAAGAAAGAACACTTTAAGGTGATGATAAAAGAAAAAAGAGAGAAAACATGAAGCATAAATGGATGAATGAATACATGAATATGCATCAGCGTTGTATTTTCAATATGCTGGCTAGAACACACGCACAATTCAACCCACTAACAAATACTAGATGACACATAATGATTGTTATAGCTCTCCATCCTTCTTCTCTTCAGACATCCATCTCTATACCTGACTGTAGACACATTTAAAGTGGTAACTTCTCCTCTCTCGCTCTTTCCCTCCCACCATCGCTCCACTCACAGACGCATCAACTTTCTACAGTATTCCTTGTGTTTTATGTCATCCTGTGTACTCCATCAGTCCCTCCACAACCAGCGGCTGCCTCATAATCAGTGTATTCTCCTCTCTGCTCTTTGTGTTTGGTGTTTCCCAGGCCCACAGGCTCATTTGAACTGGTGTGATTGAGTTTGTTTGTGTGTGGTCGACATCATTCCCCGAAGGGTTAACAAGGGTTACGCTCCATCGACCCGCCGCCCGCGCCACAACAAAGGCCTTGTTGCTCAGCGTGTGTGTGTGTGTGTGTCTGTAAATGAAAGTTGCTGCTATCAAATTAGAATGAATAACAAATGGTAAAAAACAGAGTTTGAGAATGTGTCCTCGAATGAAAGTTGGTGATATCAAAGATGAATATGTGAGAATGAATGAGAAGCTGCAAACACTGTGTGTGTGTGTGTGTGTGTGTGTGTGTGTGTGTGTGTGTGTGTCTGTAAAGTCTTTGAGCAATCAAAGAGGCAGACGTGTGAAATGTGTGTACATACATTATGTCTGTGGATATTCTTATACATTTTTTTATACATTTAGGAGAGCAACACAAGAACCCAGACAGATAAGCTTGATGTGATTTCTGAGGACGTCTCGTCTCTAAAAGACCTGCAATCAAAGCTTCTCTGTTCAACACTCGCATCTTTAAAACATTAAAAAAGAAATGGTAAACACGTCATTAAAGGGTAAACACACCCTCATCTTGGATTTTGGGATGCGCCATCTTGGTTTTTTTTCCACAACCAGCAGCGACATGAGCTGGTGGAGCGAAGTACAACCGAACGCTCAATAAGATGTTATTGTTTACATTGTTTAAACGCCCTGTCAATCACAAGGTAAAGCATCCCCTGCTTTATGGTCTGTTTGACTCTAAATGGACCATAATGTACTAAATGAACATCATGCTGTATTGAAGAAGACTTGCAAGTAGAGATTGAGACCATAAACTCATGTTTACAATGTTTACTGAGGTAATAAATCAAGAGAGAAGTAGAGTCATTTTCTCATAGACTTCTATACAACCAGAGGAGTCGCCCCCTGGTGGTCACTAGAGAGAATGCAGGTTTTAAAAACACCAGGTTTCACTTTTCAGAACCGGACGTTGCAGCCAAAAAAAGGCCACCTGGACGAGTGAACGCCAGAGAAAAGGCAAAACAAAAAGGGAATAAGAGCTTCAACTTTTCAAAGCAGTGTGTGAATCAGAATTTGAATATTTAAATCTAAATGATACCCCAGCTGTACCGAGAACAGGCGTTAAGTGAGACTTACGTGGCCTTTCCCTCACGGAGGAAGATGCAGGAGAGGGAGAACTGCAGCGTGGCCGACACCACCTTCTTGGACAGAGGCTTGAACTTGAGCTTGACGTCGGTCTGCGTGGGCATCGGACTGGCGTACTGCTTCATGTTGATACTGCTGGTGGCCAGAGCCTTCCTTCGTCCTGATGGAGACTCCTGGAGGAGAGAAACATGAAGCATATATTCAGGTGATTAGAGACAGATAGAACGTCGACACTGCAGGGGATCGAAGGGAAAAACAAAGAGAAAAGGCAGCATTTTGAATTTAATGTGAGGATATTCTGCAAGAAAACAACTGTTTAAGGTTCAGTACAGACTTTCTTCATCACTGATGATCGGTGATTACAACATCCCGATCAATAATGGGGTGTTTGGTCACTGCTGGTTGGTAAATCCAGGACAAGCTCTAAATGTGTGTCCTCCTGCGTTCCTCATTGTGAGATCAGTTGTATGATATTTCCACGCTGAAGACATTTCTGCTGCTCTTCTTTTCAGAGATGTGCTCCGGGCCAGAGGAGAGCAGTCAAATTGTAATTTGGGAAATATGCCACATAGACCAGGTGATAAGAGTTATGGAATCAGTGACAGTGTGTGTGTGTGTGTGCGCGTTTGTGTGTGCGTGTGCTCGCATGCAAGCCGATGATTGATGTGTGAAAAATAACAACAGCAGGAAAGCCTTGTCTAACTAAACAGTTGGGGATTGTCCAACCTTTTGTCTCTCTGTGTCTCTCTCCGTCTCTTTCTCTCTGTCTCCCTCTCTCTCTCTCTGTCTCTCTCTCTAGGTCTCTCTCCGTCTCTCTCTCTAGGTCTCTCTGTCTCTCCAAAAAAAATGAATGATTTTGTCTGCTGCGAGTCCGGCTATGGAAGCGCCATGCTGTCCGTGAATAGCAGACTGGTTCACCTCCTTGCTGTGTTGATACCACTCACATGTCCGTGTCCCTCTTTTCTGTGTTTTTTGTGTGATGGGAAACTGCCACCAGTTAACTGATATGTGTTAATTTGCATGACGAGACTGAATCTACCGTAAGGATCAGACGCTGGTGTGCACCCGACCCAGCAGGAGGTGGTAACCCACATTTACTCTTTAAATCCATCAGATTTCCCTTTTTTTGTCTCCTTTTCACTGCATGGATGTCTAAAATCAGCATATGTAACTGTATACACACACACACACACACACACACACACACACACACACACACACACA